CTATTAAAAGAGAAGAAACTATGATTTGTATTCATGCTACTTCCCTGCTGTTCTCTGTGCCTCAGAGTGCTTTTAACATGCTGGGAGATAGGAAGAAAGAGCTGATGAGGCTTCCCTCCTCCAGAGTGCTTTTCTGCACATCTCAGCTGTTGAGCTGCCAATAATCCCTGCATAGAAGTAACTGTCAAAGGAAAAATGATAGTAAAATACCCCCTTTTGAACACAGGAGTCCTTGAATAGGAAGAGGAGAATGATTACAGGTGATTTACCTTTGGAATACAACTGCCTAGTTACCAAAGGCCACATCAAAAGCCAGCTAAATCTTAAAAGGAAAACAGCCCCTTTTTGTGAAGTTTCACATAGGTTTTGATGCAGATCTGCAAGTGACTTTCTCTGTATGGTTTCCTCTGATTAGTTAATTGCCCCATTTTGTGTAGGAATACTGAAGGGTATTGTTTTCCTTCTACCTACTTTCCTTTATGAGAGCACCAAAGCCTGCAAGGGATGGCAGGACTGGGAGAGAGACTGTGACTGGAGCCACTGCATGTGGGAAAACATCCCAAGAAATGGTCATGCTGTGAGAGGCAGTCTTATCTTCATTTATAGTCCTACTCAGCTGCCTTGTAAAGGCAGGCAGGCAGTGGGACTGTCCCCCTGGGAAAAGAAATTATTTTGTTGGATTGTGTTAGTCTATGCCAAGGGTTATTACACTGGCAAGCTGAGGAACAGGGCAGTCTCTCATCTAGATATTAAAAAAAGAGGAGGCTGCCTACATTGGAAACCTCAACATCTCTTAGGATAACTGTCTCCTTATCTCTACAGTAGTTTAATGGCCTGGCTGTATGTTTTAGCAGATTACGAAGTCCTGGGAAAGCCAAAACACAGTTGCATGTGATGTTTCTATGGGTCACTCAGGTGACGTGAATGGTTTGGGTACTCATGAACTTGGTCACTTGCAGATATCCTGCAGGCTTCAAGGCTCAGTTTTCATATATGTTAGGGGGATTCCTGAAATGGGATTTCTCTGTCTAAATGTAGACTTTCCATGTTGCAGCTGGGCAATATCATCTGGGTTACATACCCTGTGACCCCTTTGTATATGGTAGAAACCAGCACTGGACAGTCTGATGTATTTTAGGTGTCCAGTTCAGGATGGGATTGGTCATGCTCTGTAGGCAGGAGGTTACCACCATACAGCCTCTGCACTGAAAATACAATGTTTATGTTAGTCCTTATTGTCTTTTATTATTCTCTAAGCCATGGTATTTGGAATGTATTCGAGTTTCAGTCCTATCCTTTGCCCAGAGTTTGCACAGTTTTTGATCGACCTGGCCTGCACATTGTTGCTTTTGATCAGTGAAATTAATTGTGCAAGTTAGCTTGTACATGAAATGGAAGAGATTATTTCAACATGAAGTAACTAACTCATTGGATGGAAACTGTTTACTGTTGTAAAGCAAACCTACTTTAATTGCAAGTGGAGCGGCTTGGTAGCAAAGAGGGGTGACAGGGAAACAAATGACTTCTTTAGAAACTTTCCAGCAGGAAAGAGCTCCTCCTTTCTGGATGGCTGTTCTCTGTGACACTCTGTGTGGGTAGCAAATTATGACTTTTTTTGTTTTCATTTCAGCTGCCGTGACAAATGATGCAAATGTCGAGTGTTGCACAGCAGCAGGGCTCTCCATTGTAAATTACTTTGCTTGAAAAATGCGATCTGTTAAAATAAATAGAATGGCCAACAAAAAGGAACTTAATAGCATACTTAAAACTAACATGCTGCTAAATGCTGTCAGCTTGATGTTGCTCAAAGTTGGTATAATACAAGGTAGGCCAAGTAAAGGTCAATGGTGTGATGTAGCCAACAGTGTTACTGACGAACCATTAAGAGAATTGTGGTCTACAAAAAAATGGTTATTTTTGTGAATATTCTACAGCTGTCCCCTCTCAATGCTGGGTTGGTTTGTGTCTCCTTGAGTCACTGGTTCTGAGGCCAGTGTGGGGGACATATAATGAAATATTGAAGAATATAATTGCAAAAGGAGAGAACACAGGAAAAAACCCCTCCTTTCAAAGAAATACAAACAAATTACTGATTTCATTAAAATATCTGAAAAAATGACAACAGCAGTGTTTCAGTCTAAATCAGTATCTTTCATTCTGGCACTCCCACTGGTGGTTACAAAGATAGAAGGTTTCTGACTTCCATCTGATGGAAACCACTTTGGCGCAGGTCCTGTATTGACTTGACTCTGACTTAAACTGAGTCATAGTAAACAGAAATTATGGATTTTGCATGTTTTATTTCTTAATCCTTTTATTTTCCAGTTTAGTAAATTAGGATGCTCCCTGTATGTGCAGTCAGCCTGTGAAAGAGCAAGAGTTGCTGTTTCTGTTTTAGGCTTGTCATTGTAAATGATTATTGAGAACAATACTGTGGGGTTTTTTCCTGTATGGTAATATAATACTCAGCATATTTTAAAACTATTATCATATGGTTCCTAGCTGGATAAATGCTGTTAAGATAGCATAAGAGACAAATAGTCTCTTTTCTCACGCTGAATCTAAAATGGGAAAATTTGTTAGGATGCACTTGCTTTTCCCTATTAATCATAGAATACTTTGGGTTGGAAGGGACCTCTAAAGGTCATCTAGTCCAACCCCCCTGCCGTGGGCAGGGACATCTTCAACTAGATCAGGTTGCTCAGAGCCCCCTCCAACCTGACCTTGAATGTTTCCAGGGATGGGGCATCCACCACCTCTCTGGGCAACCTGTGCCAGTGTTTCACCACCCTCAGCGTAAAAAATTTCTTCCTTACAGCTAGTCTAAATCTACCCTCCTTCAGTTTAAAGCCATTTCCCCTTGTCCTGTTGCAACAGGCCCTGCCAAAAAGTTTGCTGCCATCTTTTTTAGAAACGCCCTTGTAGTACTGATCGGCTGCGATAAGGTCTCCCCGGAGCCTTCTCTTCTCCAGGCTGAACAACCCCAACTCTCTCAGCCTTTCTTCACAGGAGAGGTGTTCCATCGC